GGTGCTAAATGACAGATTTAAATGGCACTGATGCGCATGGGTCTGAAACTCAAATTGTCTGTATTCCTGAAAAATTAACATGCATCTTTAGAGGCATCATCCGTCCTCACACCCCGGAAGACAAGAATGACCTATCTAAAGTAGCACTCGGTGGGATAAGCAGGAAAGCCACAGGAGGGCCAGAGTATCAGCTGGTGGAGTGAAAGCCACATCAAGTGGTTAGAACTTAGTTACCAGAGTATAATCTCTTGGATGAGAGATGTCTAAGTCCAGAAGAGCAAATTCCCGGCACTGTTGTTCTCATTGTTGTGTACTAGTCACAACTTCCTCCTGCTGGGAGTTTGGGGGTGTGGTGAATCCAGGATGAGCTTCCTTATTTTAAGGTGGCTTTCACTGTAGTGATCTCTTTATTTGGACTTGCTATTGGTTAAACCGTTGGAGCTATTCTGGTAAGTGTCGAGAAGCCCATCTATCCATCCATCCATCCATCCATCCATCCATCCATCCATCCAGGTAAACCTGATGGGATCCACAGACAAACATGAGGGAGCAGCATGTTTTCCCACACAGAGAAGCTGGGGTCAAGACCTAGGCCAGTCAAGCAGCCTGAAGGTCTGAAGTGTCAACCTGGGGGAAGAAGGAAAGTGTGGCAAAGACAAGGGAAAAACTCGAGGGCCCTCGGCCTGTGGTGGAGGGAAATGAAAAGGGGAGAGGGAGTGAGTGCTGAAAGCCTTCTTAGCCCTGGCCATCCTGGAATGTCCCTTCATCTGGGGTGAGGACAGCTCCTTGCTCTCAATCAGATCCCGGCGTCTTCTGCACTAGGACCCCAGCCGGTCCGGGCTCACACCAACAGCCATCATCTCTTTCGTTTCCTATCTCCACATTTTCTTATATGCCATGTGTTCTTTAAACAACTCTTTCTAAAGATTTTCTGTCTTCAGAGAATGCTGCTTGAATGTTGCTAGAGTTTTTATTCATTTCTTGTTTAATGTGAGATATTAACAGAATGTCTTATAGGAGGGCAATGAAGGACTAGGGAACAAGGGAGTGACACAGAAATGAGAAACATTTGAAAGGGAATTAAAAAAACTCCCAAATTCAACTAAAAATCTATGTGTTTATGAATGCAGCATTGACGCTAAGGGAAGGATACAAGATCTGAATAAATGAAGAGAAGAACCATGTTCCTGAATGCAAAGACTCAATAGTGAAGACACCAGTTTTCCCCAAATCAGTGGATATTATTTTGTCTGATTGCTAATCCAGTGCCCCTTCTCCTGGTTTGTTCTTCTAGGTCATTATTTATATGAAAACTTACTCTAATACTGTATCTTTATATATTTATTAGCTATCAGTACCTTTTACTATGAATCTATTGTTCATACATTTTGCTTATATGTTTATATAGTTTGTTTTATTTCTTATTTTTTGTAGGATTTCTGTATATATTCTGGGAACTATTACTGTTCATTCTGTTAATAATGTTGCAAACACTTTCCCTGCCTGTAACTCTGCCACTTATCTTTATACTTTGTTCGTGGTGGCTTCTGCCATACAGAACTTTTAAGTTTTATCTGGTTTCAAGTGATTCTCATGCCTCAGCCTCCTGGGTAGCTGGGATTACAGGCATGCACCACCACACCTGGCTAATTTTTGTGTTTTTAATAGAGACAGAATTTCACCATGTTTGCCAGGCTGGTCTGGAACTGCTGACCTCAAGTAATTTACCTGCCTCAGCTTCCCAAAGTGCCGGGATTACAGGCGTGGGCCACCATGCCTGGTCACTTCCTTCTTATTTATAATTCCTCAACAATGCGCCTTTTTCAGCAAGGATTCTTCCACCTTTATGTTTATATTTAAAAAATTTCTATATATGTACTTTTATTCCACTGGAAGTTTTATGTTTATCCTTTTATTCCAGCTAGAATTCATATTTGCATGTAGGTCTAAGAGGAACCTGACTTTGTTTTTTCTTCTAGTTGTATTGCTGGCTGTGCAGAAGTTCATTTATTTATTAATCATAACTCATCCTTTTCCCAGAGTTTTGATATACCATTTTAAAAATACAGTATATATAGACCCATTTCTACTCTTTTTCTGCTCATTGTTTACTTAGCAATTCTTCCATCAGTACCATTTCAAAATATATTCTGATATCTGAAACAGCAAGCCACTTTTCATAATTCTTTTTTCTCAAAATGTTGTTGGTTATTTGTATGTGTTTTCTAGAAGAACTTTAGAATCAGCTTGTCACATTTCATAAATCATCCTTTGAGAATCTTGATTTGAGTGTAATAACTCTCCTAACTGATTTGGTAGAACTGATCATTTTACAGTATGGGGGATTATCAGCCAAAACATGATTTGTCTTGATTCAGGTATTTTATATTTTTCAAGAATATATGGTTGTTTTATTTATATATGCCATAAACATTTCTTATCAGTTTTTAGGAGCCCTGTGGGCTTATGAAATTTTTAAAGGAGGACTTTTTTCTATTTGTTTTTAACTACAAAAGTATTGATTTCTGTATGGCATTCTTATTAATCACCCATCTCACTGAATTCCATCACAGTTTTATTTAGTGACTTCTTTGTCTCATTATTCTAGGTACATAATCTTTTCAGTTGAACACATAGAGTTTTCTCTTTTGTTTTCAAAATCATAGCGTTGCTTTCCTTTTCTTAACTTATCCTATTAGCTGAAACCTCCAAGCAGCGCCACACAGTAACAGTGACTTAAGAATTATCTTATGCCTGACTCTGTCATGTTTTCTAACCCTACAAACTGAACCGATATTCAATAATCTTAGTTCTAGTTCCATCTTACTTGCTGCTCCTTGTCAGTTTTAGCCTGTTTATAAAATAAGGACTTTGAATTCATTGATCTCTTATTTTCCTTCCAGTTCATATATTCTTTTACTACATGATTTAACATATAGGCATGACAACCAAGATTAGCTTTTAAAAGTGAAAACAGCAGCAAAATGGGGCCTAATTGATTTATAACAAAATGGAATCTAGTTGATATCAAGGTCACAACTTACCTGCAAGATTTGAAAAGTCAGGAAAACCTGCCAGTTGGAGATGTAAATCCCCAGAGAGGTCTTCACCCTTCTTGAAGGCTCATATACCAGAGAAAGTAATCATTTGAACAAGAGACTTTTCCTCCCCAATATTCAGTTGTGCTAAATTGGCTAAAAATGGTGCATATTGCACACCACGAGTATTCATACTCAATAAGCCTACCTTACCTTCTTTGACTTTTCCCTTTCAGATCTCTTATAATGGACAGGGAAGAGAAATTGGAGAGAATTTGATGGTTATGCTAACAAAACATAAGTTATTGCAAGATGCAGTTCAAGTATAGCCTTCGGTTCCTTTCTTTTGAAAGTCAGCCGTAATTCTCCGGCCAAATTGTCTGAAAAAGGATCCTAAGGGGTGTCAGAGAAAATGAAGCAGATCAGAGAGTTATGGGGCCTCCATCCACTCAGGAGAAAGCTAAGGGGCCTTGCAGGAGACAGTGATGGATTCAAGCCATAGGAAAAAGCATACATCGAGGGCCTCCACCTCATCCCTATCTTTGGAGGATGTGTATAATTTATAGAGTGTTTAAATTAGACAAATGGCCCAATCAATTTACAATAAGGGACAGGAAACAAATGTTTATTTTGCATTAAACTGAACTTCACCAGGGAGAAACGCTTATGATCTTCTGAGTTATGGTGCTTGGGTTCTCTGTAAAAGTGCACCTAATTACTGGGTTTGCTTCTTTGCACAAAGGCGATCCATTATGGAACACGCTGTCTCCATAAAGAACAGAGGATACGCTAAGCAGCTCAAGCTAAGTGGTAATTTATATCATTTTATAAATGTTTATAGAAAGAAAGAGCAAGAGCAGGCAGGAGGGCAAGGCGACAGGAGAACGAGAAAGAAACCTGAAGAAAAGACATTTTAGTGAAGATGGAAAGGCTTGAAGCATACTGTGGGGTATGACCTCAGCCTTCTGTGCAGAGGATTTGTGCTGGGAGGTGAGGAAAGAGAGGGACTTCAGAGATTTGAGCAGTTCAGTTTCCTTTGCATTTCTTACATCTGAGCAGGTGACCCGAGTGAACACTCTGGAAGCCACAGTGGAGCCCTCTGCTTAGGGCCTTTTTCTGGGAAGCAGATCAATTAACTGAAAAACAATCTGTGAATGGCTAGTTTATTGAGAAGTGACACAAACTCCAAATCACGTAATGACCTGCTCACTGATTTATTGAAGATATTATTCCAAGGTCTAATTCCCTCTGCATTTGTGGCTGCCACGTCATATGTGAACGGTGGGCTTTCCTCTAAAGGCAGTTTTGCTGTCATGCCCTTTTTGTGGATCTCTAACCTGACCCTATATGTGGCCTTTGCACAAGCCCCCTGCCTCTGCCCTGGCCTCTGTCTGCAAAGCAGCTGCAGCAACCTCCCTCAGGCTGTTGAAGATACTCATCTGATGTCCATTTTTAGTTGGCTGGAGCCCTTCTACAGGTTTGTCAGAGCTCCTCCAAGTCCAGGCCGATGGTCCCTGCCATGCTCCTACATGCTGTTCTCTGCCACCCACCTGAGCCCAGCTAGAGTCAGTGGGGAAGTGGAGGAGCCCCATCAAAACAGTGTGGCCACCCCATTCACCCTCCAATTGTGCAATCGATGACCAGGCAGCCATTAGACCCAAATGCAGTCCCACAACATAGAGGCGAATGCAAAGGCAACACATCCTCTTTTCATTCTCCTTCCATTTGAGGCCCTACAGAGCCTGGCATCTGTCTTCATCATTGTGGCACCCTCAGACTCTTTCTTGTTCCTGGAGCAAGCTGTGCTCTCTGGAGCACAAAGGCTGGGCAGTGCCTCGGCCTTTCTTCACCATTGCCGGCCATCCCTTCCTGTCCTACCTCTTCAAATGCATCTTTCCATGTGTCCTTCCTGACCATCCCTAGCAGCTGCACGATCTCATTTCAGTCTCTGCCTTTCCACAGCTCCTCCAAGATTCCTCTACTGCAGAGCACAGCACCACCTTGCAGGAACTGCCCAGAGGACTGTGAGGTCCAAGAAGCAAGGGGCTGCATCTTACTCTCCTAGGAGTCTGTATGGCCCAGCGGTGCGCCTGGGCCAGGTAAGTCTTCTACGTGGGTGCTGAGTGGTTGATGGACAATAAAACTAAGTGGTGATGGGCCTGAGAGACAAGCTTCCTGGACCACTGGAGGTGTCTTAATATGCTGAGTTTTAATGTGCTGAATGATAAAAAATGCCAGGGAACCTGAGAGAGGATAGAAAGGAGGTTGAGGGTCTCCATGAGGTCTGAGTTTCTTCCAACCTGGTGTATCCAGAGTGGGGAATGAATCTTCAAATGCCTAGAGCCTGCTGTCTGTACCCTCCAGTTACACTCCAGGACCAATTCACAACTGGTAATTCCCTTGGTAAATACAAGCAAGGTTCTCCAATTTATTTTTAGATGATAAACTTAGTGGTTAAAAGCACATGCTGTACACATGCACGGTACAATCAAATGTCCTGCAGCAATGGAAATGTCCTATATTCACTCTCCAATATAGCTTCCTCTGGCCACACTGAGCACTTGAAATGGGAATAGCACAAACTGAAAAACTGAATGTTTTATTTTAAAAAAGTTTTAATGAATTTTGTCTATTGCCTTGGATAGTACAGTGAGAAGCAAAGCATATGGATTCAAACCCGGCTCTATCAAATGTATACTGGGCTGTTTGCCCCATGTCCCATTTCCTCATTTATTAAAGATAATAGTATACATAATCTTCTTTTTTGTGATGATTAAATTAATTATTAATGTGCTTTGGTTATCTATTGCTACATGACAAATCACTTCAAATATTGTGGGTTTAAAATACCAGAAGCAATTGATGACCTTTCATGGTTTCTGTGGGTCAGGGATGTGGCTGCAGCCATGTGGCCTTCTATTCCACGGCGACTCAGTAACATGGCTGACAGGTGGTCCAGTGGCCTCAGAGTGTCCCCCAGCACAGCAGCTGACTTCCCCAAAAGCAAGCCACCGGGAGAGCAGGGGAAGCTGCAATGGCTGTGATACTGTGGCCTCGGAAGCCACTCATTCTCACACTGAATGAGCACCCTCGAGGGCCGTCTCAGAGGCAGCTGCCACAGTTAACACGGAGGCCAGGCCTGAAGAAGCCCTGAGCAGACAAAGCTTGTTAAGCCTACTAAGTGACTGTAACCTCACTTGCTTTTCAAACATTTCAGAGACTTAACTTGAGCTATTTCTTGTAAATGTCTGTTTCAAAGAAAAATAGAACATAATCTCAACCAATCAGAAGCAGCCAGCTCACTTACGATTGCAGGCACAACCAATCAGAAGCAGCCAGCTCACTTACGATTGCAGGCATACCCTGTTTTACTGCACTTCACATTCTGGAACTTGACAGATATTGTGCGTTTTTAAAAATTGAAGGTTTGTGGTAACTCTGTTGAGCAAGCCCATCGGCACCATTTTCCCAACAGCGTGTGCTCACTTTGTTGTCATGTTTTGGTAATTCACACAATATTTCAAACCTTTTCATTATGATTATGTCTGTTATAGTGACCTGTGATCAGTGACCTTTGATACTGCTGTTGTAATTGTTTGTGGGGGATACAAATTATAGCCAGGTAAGACAGAGAACTTAGTAGATAAGGTTGTGTGTGTTCTGATTGCTTTACTGAACAGAGTCTCTCTCCCTCTCTCTCCCTCTCTTCAGGCCTCCCTTTCCCTGAGACACAACAGTGTTGAAATAAGGACAATTAATAGTCCTTCAGTGACTTCTAAGTGTTCAAGTGAAAGGAAGGCTCCACATCTCCCACTTTCAATCAAAAGCGAGAAACAGGCCGGGCGTGGTGGCTCAAGCCTGTAATCCCAGCACTTTGGGAGGCCGAGGCGGGTGAATCACGAGGTCAAGAGATCGAGACCATCCTGGTCAACATGGTGAAACCCCGTCTCTACTAAAAATACAAAAAAAAAAAAAAATTAGCTGGACATGTGGCACGTGTCTGTAATCCCAGCTACTCAGGAGGCTGAGGCAGGAGAATTGCCTGAACCCAGGAAGTGGAGGTTGCAGTGAGCCAAGATTGCGCCATTGCACTCCAGCCTGGGTAACGAGCGAAACTCCGTCTCAAAAAAAAAAAAAAAAAAAAAAAAGCTAGAAACAATGAACCTTATTGAGGAAGGCATGTCAAAAGTGAAGACAGGCTGAGAGCTAAGCTTTGTGCACCAAACAGCCAAGTTGTGAATGCAAAAGAAACATTCTCAAGAAAATTAATTTCTTAGAGAAAATCATCATTCATGCATTCAGTGAACACATGAATGATAAGGAAATGAAACAGCCTTGTTGCTGATACAAAGAAAGTTGAAGTGGTCTGAATAGAAGAACAAAACAGTCAAAAGCCTAATCCACAGCAAGGTTCTAACTCTTCAGTTCTATGGAAGATGAGAGAGTGAGAAAGTTGCAGAAGAAAAGTTGGAAGCTAGCATAGGTTGGTTCATGAGGTTAAAGGAGAGATGCTGTCTCCATAACAGAAAAGTACAAGGTGAAGCAGCAGGAGCTGATGGAGAAGCTGCAGCACATTATCCAGAAGCTCTGACTAAGGTCATTGATGAAGGCGGTTACACTAAACAACAGATTTTCAGTGTAGATAAAACAGTCTTCTGTCAAAAGAAGATAGCATCTAGGACTTTCACAGGTAGAGAGAAGTCAATGCCTAGCTTCAAAGCTTCAAATGACAGGCTGACTGTCTTGTTAGGGGCTAATGGAGCTGGCGACTTGAAGTTGAAATCAACGCTCATTTATTATTCCAAAAAATCTTAGGGTCCTTCAGAATTATGCTAAATCTCCTCTTTCTGGAAGAACAAAGCCTGGATGATGGCATATCTGTTTACAGCATGGTTTAATGAATATTTTAAACACACAAGTGAAGGCTAGTGCTCAGAAAAAAAAAGATTCTTTTGAAAATATTACCGCTCATTGCCAAGGCATCTGGTCACCCAAGAGGGCTGATGGAAATGTACAAGAAGATGAATGTTTCATGCCCTAACACACCATCCATTCTGCAGCCCATGAATCAAGGAGTAATTTTGACTTTTAAGTCTTATTATTTAAGGGACAACTTTTGTAAGGCTATTGGTGTTATAGAGAGTTATTCCTCTGATGGATTTGGGTAAATTAAAAATCTTCTGGAAATAATTTACCATTCTAGATGCCATTAAGAACATTCATGATTCATGAGAGGCGGTCAAAATATCAACATGAACAGGTGTTTGGAAGAAGTTGATTCCAGCCCTTGGGGATGACTGAGGGATGGAGGCTTCAGTGGAGAATGCACTACAGATATGGTGGAAACAGCAAAAGAACTAGAATCAGAAGTGGAGCCTGAAGATGCAACTGAATTGCTGCGATCTCATGATAAAACATGAACAGATGAGGAGTTGCTTCTTACAGGTGAGTGAAGAAAGTGGTATCCTGAGATGGGATCTATTTCAGGTGAAAGTGCTGTGAACATTGTGAAATGACAACAAAGAATTAATGATATTATAAATGTATATTACAATAACGTAGTGGGAGAGCTTGAGAGGATTGACTTCAGTTTTGAAAGAAGTTCTAATGTGGGCAAAATACTATCAAACGGCATCACATGCTACAGAGAAATCTTTCATGAAAGATCCAACGGATGTGGCCAAGCCGCACTGTTGTTTTATTTTATGAAATTGCCATGGCCACCCCAAGCTTCAGCAACCACTGCCCTGATCACTCAGGAGCCGTCAACATCAAGGCAAGACCCTCCACCAGCAAAAAGACCACGAGTCTCTGAAGGCTGCGATAATCATTGGTATTTCTCAGCAATGAAGTATTTTTGAATTAGGGTATGTACATTGCTTTTTTAGACATAATGCGATTGTACACTTAATGTAGTATGACATAACTTTGGTATGCAGTGGGAAACACACTTGATGGTGACTTTGCAGTATTTGCAGACAGTAGTCTGTCACTGAGCCAGCAATGTCTCCAAGGTATGCCTGTATGTAACTGGGGATTTTTCAATGGGATAGGCCCAATAAGGCAACTGCATATTCATAATCAATTAAATATCTTCTCTTGTGTGGCTTCCTGTTTGTATTATAGAAATCTCCTTCCTGCATTCCTTTGATGGAGCTCCCAAACCACTTCTTTTTTAGAGCGGCCTAATTCTTGAATCCCTATTTTCTCACTCTTTAAAATTTTTTTGTGCTTTGGTTTATCTTTTTAACCCTGCAATGTGTAGCAAAGGGTTCCTGGCACATACTGAACGAAGATATTAGTGATTCTTCTCTGATGCTTTCCAAGTTCAGCCAAACCTTGAGGCTCTCCACTCACATTTTCAAATGCTAAATGCTCCTGTGGTGGAGACAGCGGGGGTGCTGGGGTGTGGACACCCCTTGAGGTCTCTTTTTGTTTTTTCCCCTTCAGTCCAGTACCAGAACATCCCTTCATTGGCAACTGTCAAGTGGGCCTGCTGAAAACGATCAAGGCAGTCCTCCCTAGCTCGGGGTCTCGCTTAATGTTGAGAAGGTAGTGTGTGAGGGATTTGGAATCAGAAGCTCTGGAACAACTCCCAGTTTACTCTTATAATTACATACAAAAAAAAAAAATCAAAACCTCAGTTTATTTGCGCAAAAATGGTGGAGTGTTCTTGTCCTACATGAGGAATGCACTAATCCCTCCAGCCAGCATTCACTGGGGGCGCTGTGCTCCAGGCAGGCTGCCGGTGAGGACTGCATGCAGGTCTTGCCTTCACACCCGGAGCAGGCTGGAGGGAGTGGTGTGAAATCCCCCAATCCCCAAGCTGGGGGCAAAGGCTGTGCTAAGGCAGTGGGACGTGGAGCTGGCCTGGCCTGACCTGATGACTCAGAGTGGAAAGATGCTTGCTGCACTGAAGTGTGAGGACCCCAGCAGGAGCGTAAAGGCAACAGCACCTGTGAACAGGATTTGTAAGCTGCTCTTGGTGATTTTTGGACAGACACTCTTACTTGCTTTATTTTTCCCTTTTGACTTCTGCCCCCTTTCCCTAATAATATTTCCAAATGTGTGGTGCCCACCAGGATCCTGGGCAGTGCAATGGGATGGCTGCTTGGTTTCTGCTGATCCTCACAGAGCCAGTAACTTCTTCCTCCTGGGTCTGTGGATCAATGCCGTTTTCCTGGCCACTAGGCAGAGCGCAGGTCCCCTAAGGAGAGCAGGAGAACAGGGGTTGGAGCTCATTATTACAGGGTGCTTGTCTTGCCACCTGTCCCCAGAATGCCTTAAGTGACAATGACATAGGCATCTGACAACGCATGTGGTCATCTCTTTTCATAATTTTAAGATACGATGGCCCTTCTTTTTCCAACTCCTTTCCCCACTTAGACAGCCAGGAGACCAGAGAACTGCTGTGCTTGTCTTTTACTGAGCCTGACAGGCCTTGTGCCCCAGGGGCTTGGTGTGCCCGTGAATAAACAGCGTTGGCCTTTGGCCTTCCCGCAGCCTCTCCTTGGGGCCTTTAGGGTTCCCACAGGCCCTCCCCTCCCCTCTGCGTTTTCCAGGATCCAGCCAGCTGCCAGCACACGTCCGTCCTCCTCCGCACCCGAGGATCCCCAGGCCCTGCGGTGTTAGCCTGGTGAGGAGTGGGGTTTGGGATGTGAGCCACAGCTCCTTGTGGCCCCTCCTCCCCCGAATTGTGAAACTTGAGGAGGCCCCTCAGCTGCTGGCACAGAGTCCATCTGTGGGAACCTTCTCCAGTCTATGGGGGAGGCAAGGGTCTCGCCTCAGGGACTTGGTTTATTTATCTAGCTGGACTCCATCCGTTAATATCCAGCTTACAGAGGAAGAGGCTTTGCCAGCTAAATGCAGCCCCATCCCTTCCTGCAAAGACTGAGAGCAGAAAGAACAGATATTTACAGAGGCCTGAGCCCCCCTTGGTGTTGCCTGCAAGGCTGTCAAGCGGGTGGGGCTTCAGGATCCTGGTCGGGAACCTGGAACCCAGTGCTGGAGACCCTCAAGGTTAGAGCACCTGACCCTCTTCTCAGCCACCTAAAGCCTGTGTTGGTCTCGCTGTGGATCCCAAGCTCTAATATCCATTCATCCTCCCAATCCAAATTCCCTTTGCTGACATAAACACCATCAACAATGTAGAGAATGTGTTTCCTCATCTTTGAATATTAACACCCATCTGTTTAATTGAGATCCTTTTTACATGCATGGAAGATGTGCTGCAAAGGAAACTGTGTTTCATGTTGTATAAGCCGTATGTTCTGCAACTGCTGTCAGATTTCTCAGTTGTTGAATGGGATGAGCAATGGAGCTTCAGACAGATGCCGTGACCTGCCTAGGCCGGTGGGTGGGGAGCTGGAAATTCATACAACCATGTCTTGTTCACTTGCTTTGTGAAAGAATCATGTGAACAGTGACAAAGAGGCTGGGCAGCTGGGCCAGGCAGCAAGGAGAGTGCCTGAGCTGGGGAGCAATGGCACTGTGCTCCTCTGTACCCTTGATCTCCGAGGCCAAGCTGACACTAGCCCCTCACAACCCCTTGGGGCTGCTCCTCCTTAGGGAGCAGTTCCTTGGGTTTCCTGTTTGCCTCCTGCTGCTCTTGTGTTGAAGGGCCGCCTCTGGGCAGCTCCCCCAACCCCTGGCAGGAGAGCCAGGCCATATCAGGCACGTGGAGCATGAGGGAGGTGCAGTTGTTTTCACAGGTGCAGATTCTAGAGGACCCCACGTGGACTCCGTGGCTTCTGCCATGACACACTCATGGGAGGACACGGCTCTGCCCGGAAGGGAGAGTTCTGAGCTGGTCCCTGCTGCTCATCTCTGTGACATCACCATGGGTCAGCCCTTCCCTCTCACACATATGTTCTGCAAGACCTGCGGTCAAATATTTGCTCAAACATTTGTTGAATGGGATGAGCCTTGGAGGTCCAGACAGATGCTGTAACCTGAGGTGTCAAATGAGGGATGTGTGTGATGGTCTTCTCCATTTATACCGTTTTAAGTGCGCTAAGCACTACTTAAAATAAAAAAGCCAACACTTGTCTTTCCATTTTTACTTTCTCTCTTTTTAACATATAATATGTAAAAAGAAAAATCTTGGATATTCCAACAGATTTGGCTGTGTTTTGTTTGCTATTTATTTATTTTTTCTCCCTGTATTAGTCAGCTTGGGCTACCATAGCAAAGTACCACAGACTGGGTTGCTTACACAACAGAAACTCATTTTCTCACAGTCCTGAAGTCCAAGATCAAGGTGGCAGCAGGGTTGGTTTCTGGTGAGGACTCCCTTCTGAACCTGCAGTGGCCGCCTCCTCACTGTGTCCTTATGTGGATTTCCCTGTGTGTGTACTTCTTATCTCCTTTCCTTTTCTTACAGGAGAGCAGTCTTGCTGGATCAGGGCTTCACCCTTAGGACTGCATTTAACCTTATTTACCTCTTTAAAGGCCCTGCCTCCAAACACAGCTATAATGGGGTTAAGGCTTCAACACTTGGATTTTCGGGGAGACAGAGCTCAGTCCATACCACTGCCCAATGGGCAAAGCTTGACGAGCCTCCATGTCTGTGGAGCTTCTCTTTCCTGTGATGGCCTTGTCTCCTAGAGAAGCCCCACTTCTCCCTGTTCCTAATTGTCCCCTTCCTTCCTCCTTTCAGGGGAGGAAGCCAGACCTTCTCCTTGGACTCAGTGCGTGACCAGCTGCTCCCTCCACACGGTGCAGGCAGGAGGAGTTGGGATTAGTAGCTCTGCCCAGGGTGTCTTGGGGGGTGGCTGTCACTGCTCCATGCCAGGGGGGCCGACCAGGCACCCGGAAGTCCCTAAGGGCAACTCCCTCCTCTGGCCCTCCTCCCTGCTTTTGTCTCCCTGCAGTGGGTACAGTCTGAGGGCCCTGGTGTTGCATTCTCATCAAGGAGAGAGAGGCCACTTCTGCCTGACACATATGTCTTCTCTCTTTACTTGCCTAGGGTTAGCCACTGTCAGAGTGTGGCTCAACTGAGAAATAACTTTCTGAGTAGAGCTGGGGAAGATGGGCTGAGAGGCTTCTGAGGTCCTGTGTTCACTGAGGGGTTGTGATGCGTTAGGTGGGCCTGAGCTCTCTGGCTTCAGAGAGAGCACCTGTGGGGCACCAGGCAAGCTGAGGCTGCAGCTCAGAGATCACTCCAGCAAAGGGCCAGGTGGGTGTGAGCCCTCCATTCAGAGAGAACTCTGGATATTTTGTTTATTTCATTCTTACTTAATAATCATTCTTATTTCATTAACTATATTTTAACTTACTGAATTTTTGCCTCTGTTAAAATTTTTTTTTGTTTACTTCGGAGTTCTTCTGAAATAGAACGTGACTTTATTATAGTACTTTAATTTATATTCAGTATATTTTAAAGCCAATGCATTTGAGACTATAAATGATCCTTAGAGTACTCTTTTGGACATATAGGTATCAATAGATAATGTCCCGAATTACATTTTCTTTTAAATCACCTTTTTACCTTTGATTTCTTTTTAAATCTAAATATTATTTTGAAGTTGTTTTGTATTTTTAAATGTTAACCTCATTTTGGAGAGAGAGGCTATTCTTTTATTCTTAGTTTCTGGATTATTCTACATATGGAGTTGTAATTTTTCCTCTTTCAAAATTAAAATTTTATTGGGAGCAAAGTGCAGTAGTCCCCACTCATATACAGTTTTGCTTTCCATAGTTTTAGTTACTCCAATGAACAGGTGTTCAAAAATATTAAATGGAAACTCCCAGAAATAAAGAATGCATAAGTTTTAAATTAAATGCATTCTGAGTAATACAATGAAATCCGGTGCCATCTTGCTCTGTCTCACTCGGGAGGTGAATCGTCCCTTTGTCCAGATATCCACACTGCCTATGCACAACCTGCCCATTGGTCACTTAGTAATTGTTCTGAGGATGAGATTGACAGATCAAAAGAAGGGTGAGTACCGTACAGTAAGATATTTTGGGGGGAGATTACATTTGCATAACTTTCATTAAGTATATTATTATAATTATTCTGCTTTACTATTAGTTATTATTAATCTCTTACTGTGCCAAATGTGTACATTAAACTTCATCCTAGGTGTGTATGTACAGGAAAAAGCAGTATACGGGGTTTGGTGCTATCCAAGGTTTCAGGCAGCTGCTGGGGGTCTTGGAACAAATCTTCTGGGGATAAAGAGGGGTACTGTACACAGGAGAATTTTATAAAATTTTTCATTCATTATTTATTGTTTTTAGTAGAAACGACATCTCCATATCTTTGTTTTCTATCTCTAGCTATACAATTAAGTTTGTTGATTTTATTATTTACACCCTTGGTCTTTTGTGCTCTTGCTTCTTTCAATTTCTGACAAGTTTGTTAAAATCCCATTCAGTTTTCGGAGGGAGATAAATACTTGCACATCTCCTCGGGTTCTTAATCAACTGAGATCAGAGCTGGATGAGTCCTAAGAACAGAAGTGGCTTTATCATGGAAACGTAGTCTTGTGCTTAAGGGAAAAATGGAATTTCCTTTTCCTTCTCCTTCTTCACCGAATTGGAGATTCTTGGTCCTGCTGACTGGATAACTAAGGTGCTCAGCCAGCCAAAGCCTGGGAGTGAGGAGCATGAGAAGAGCACCAGCATGGCCTCCCAGAGGCAGCAATGCACCCAGCCCTGCAGTGACAGAGTGCAGGCAGCCCCTGGAAGCTGCAGGAGAAGGTAGAACATGCCCTCCCTGCTCACCTTTTAATGTGGGGAACTCAGAAACAAAGTCACGAGAATCCATTAGAAGTCACCTTCCCTGCGTTCCCCAGATCAGAGAATTCCCTTCTGAATAGAGACTTGTACATGAGGGAGTGGAAAGGGGGACCAGCCAGTGGCTGGAGTGGCCTCCTCCTTACCTCTCTAGAAATATGAGACGTGGGAGATTAGCAGGCCTCTGTGACAACTGTGATACTGTCGCCTATCTTAATTTCAATCCTGTATGTGTTTGTGTGTGACATTTTTGTATTAGGTAAGCAATACATTTAATTTGACATAATTTGCTTGTCAAAGGGGAAATTTAGCCCAGTAATAGTCATTATAATCTGTGATATATTTGGAATTATTTATGCAATCACTCTAAGTTTTTGACTTCTATTTAATAAACTTTATATCAAGAAAGAAGTAGTATAGTAGTTAAGGGTGTGGGTTTTTCATTCAAAATCTAGTTCTTAAAGTTAGTAGAAAGGCCACCATAAGAAAACCGCTTAACCTTTCTGCATCTAGGGGTTTGTCTTTAAGATGCATACCTCTTAGAATTGTGAAGTAATTAAATTCTTTGATGTTTATAAAGTGTTCAGAATAGTGCATAGCACCAAGTGAATGCTCCATCGGCAATGACTGTATACTTTCTTCCCACATTTTGCCATTTATTAAAGTTTGTTGGTTCTTTATCTGATTGATTTGGCTTGAAATTTATACCTCTACGAAGGCTGTCCTCAGAGTTTTAATTAATATACATTTGTTTTATATTAAATGTGCTTTCTTGTTTAATTAAAAATAATTTCAAGACAGTGAGATTGATGGTTAAAGATGCTTTAAATACTACTGACAACATAAACCAAACTAGCAGAGAAAGCAGGGGGAGAAAATGAACATCTTAAATGAAACAACAAATTGACACAACTTCAAAGTAGAAGCAATGTGAAACATTCAGCAAATACCATGCCTTTGGACCAACATGAAATGAATGAGTATCATCCATGCCCACAGACACAGATGCCTCCTGGGACCACAGCAAGTATCCCCAAACTCCCAATTGTTGCTGTGACCACCCAGAAGTTGCTTTCAATGAACCTTAGACTAGACATGTGCTAATCCTTGGATGGTTTAATGATGGAACCACTTGGCCACAGGTGACCCCACTCATCTGTACAGACACTTTAACATCTGTGGAATCCTGCATGAGGTCAAGGCTACCTTGCGTCCTTTTCTGCTGATGCATTTGCTAGTAAAATCCTACTGCTTCACTTTACTGACTTCCTTTATGTGATGAAAGAAAATCCACCACATTGCCTTCCTTTCTGACAGTTCGCTGAGGCAGAAATAACCCCAGTGGAGATGTGTTTGTAAGGAATACATTTAATGCATTATCTTGGCAGGAAGCATTTTCTTGGTGCCCCTCTCCTAGGTGGGGTTTCTTCTTGCAGACTGTGGCTCACAGTCCCACAGCAGAGATGTACATTACCGTCTACCGCTGAAGTGAACTGCTGCCCCTCTGGAGTCTGGATATCATCAGAATTCTTTCAGGAGCAGTAAATCAGATCCTCTGTGAAGTGTACATTCAATCTCCTTGCCTCTCTTTTTTTCTAGAAGTGATGCCTTTGTCTTAACTCCTGTGAGCATGGGGAGGGGTGTCTAGGCTGCCAGGATTCTCCCTCCAGGGCCATAGGCCTGATGGTTCCTGACTGGATTCCAAATGCACACATGTCCAGGGGTGCCCCTTGCCTCCAGCATCCCTCACCTCCCCTCACACCCTCTCTAAAGCATACCGTCCCTTCACAATGCCTCACCTCCTCAACCATAGACCAAGGCATTGGAGTCTTCTCTGCTTGGCTTCCCCAGGAGTAGGGGAGCATTATCAGACTGGCAGGGCCCTGCAGAGCTTTGTCTTTTTGTACATTCTCCCATCCCAGGCAACATGCTTAGAGCCACCATGCACATCATTAGGAGGGACTTCCCATGCTCTTGGGAGGCCCAGGAGTAGTTATCAAATTGTGTTAACTGCAGAGACAAAACTAACAGTCAGATATCATAGTAGCAGTGATTAAGATGTAACATTTATTTTGCATTCAAAAGTTAATTGTGCAAATATGAGAGAGTGAATGTTTTGGAGTTTGGGTGTCTTGCAGCTCCAGTGGAAGCAACAGTGTCACACGTTGCTAACAAGGCCGTGATGGGCTGCATTAATGCAGAAATGGGGTGTGGATCAGAGGAGGCTATAGCCCTGCTGTCCTTTGTGCTAGCTAATTTGTCTGGAACCTTGTAGTCTCATTGTCCATCACATTACAGAAAAAGCCTTGA